ATGACAATCACTATAACTCTTTCAGCTGTCGTGAAAATTAAAAGCTACCAAACTCAGGAAAGTGTTACATTCTGATAATTACCAAAAATATATACATACATACACTGTACATTCTTCATGAAATATACTGGTTATAAGAAATGTTATTGGCCTACTTTCCTTACTCTGAAAATATACAAGTAGGCTTATGGAATCAGCTTGCTGCCTGTGTGTCTGTATATCCCCCCAATCAACTTTTGATTGCCTGAACAAATCTTTTTGAAGCCTTGTATATATGTCATGGCAACTGAGTCCATTTCAACAGCATACTTCATAAATCCCACCAGTTATTCTGTATCTCTGTATGTGTAGCCCCATTTTATTGCCAGGTAACAGCTCTGTAAACACGTTCCCGAGGCAATGAACATAAACAACAATAGAAGAATTGTTGGACACGTCATTGAGTGGAAAAGTGTTGCATTTACAATCAAGAGAAATTGTTAGTAATGTATATTAGTATACACACGTGAACCATGTTTCTTGCCTGGCGGATCGCTATTTTTAGCCAGCTACAGACAGAGCGTTCTCGCTATCTCGACACTTGAGATGTACCTAAGGCTGGGAGGGTTGGTATGTCCGGCGCGGTTCACAACAGACAGCAGCCTGTGTTGCAGCCGGCGGTGACATTTTCGAAACTCAGCTTTAAGCACCAATCAATTCAAATTAAAGGTAATTTCACGAAGTTAACTTTACAGTCATACTTTAAATGTGTCATGTATTATGCTGGTTTATTATTTTGTTACGTTTATTGTCAGTAATCGTTACCTTCTATTCTGAGTTTAAAACGGCCATAACTCCGTAACCGTCCAAAATCGGACAGATGTTTATATGATTTTTTTTGATCACAAAGACCTAGGAAATCACCTCCTGCAGTTATGCCCTAAAGTCGTGAAACATCCTGTATATATATACAGAATGTATCAAAACTCAACAGCAGAACTTCAGGATTGGACTCCTCATATAGAGAGATAACTCAGTAACATCCTGCGGGATTATATCATGAAGCAGTAAAATTCAGCCAATATCCTATTCTTTTAATAAAATTTTAGTTTTATCATCCGATAATGTCTAGTTCTTGCAGGTGGTCTATTCCCTTCAGGAATTCGACTAATATTTTGTATACACATATCATTTTCCCATGCATACTGCATGTGTCACCCATCTTATCCTCAATTTTATCACACTGTCACGTGTTGGATAACTCTGTAATTATGCATTTCCAGACCCATATTGTCAAATTTTTCTTTCTTCTCTCTATATGAGGAGTCCATTCCTGAAGTTTTAACCGTTGAATTTTGATACATCCTGTATATGCATTACACCTTCAGATCTGTATATTGATACAATTTTAACATTGTCCCTGCCTTAACATTGCTATATATATCTGATGACTGCCCACGGATTGATGTGTGCTATATATATATATATATATACACAGGGTGTTTCACGACTTTAGGTCATAACTACAGGAGGTGATTTCCTAGGTCTTTGTGATCAAAGAAGTTCATATAAACATGTGTCCGATTTTGAACGGTTACGGAGTTATGACCGTTTTAAACTCAGAATAGAAGGTAACGATTACTGATAATAAACGGAACAAAATAATAAACCAGCATAATACATGATACACTTAAAGTATGAATGTAAAGTTAACTTCGAGAAATTACCTTTAATTTGAATTGATTGGTGCTTAAAGCTGATTTTCGAAAATACCACCGCCGGCCGCAACACAGGCTGCCGCTCGGTTGTGAACCGCGTGGGTAGCACGTAGCAGCTTCAGCTGGTTGTTTCTTGTGTGGTCAGCGGCGTCCAGAATGCGACCGAGCAAAGCATCTCACTTTGTCACGTTCACATTGTAAACCAGTTCTTTCTTCCATCCCCACACACAATAATCCAGTGGGCTTAAGCCTGGAGACCTGGCTGGCAATTCTTCATCTTCATCTTCATCTTCATCTTCATCTTTATTAACATCCGTAACTGTTACAAAGTAACACATGGACAAGTCATAACATGTAGTACAATCATTCGGGAATCCTTTGCCCACGGCCTAAAGGGTTCCTATGTCAACAGAGACATACTCTAATTAAAACTACAATACAGAATACAAGTACACAAATTTTGGATTTATTTTAAATATAAATAAGTTAATTTCAAGTTTATTTGCCTTTATGCTTAATCGACCAACTTTAAAAATACTACTTTAAAATCAAGTTACTAAAGTAACCATCACAACCATACTCATCAAGGATAAAAACACATCATCAAATCATCATTAAGGATTTTGAGCAGAGTTTCTCTATTCATCCTGCAGTCCCTCAAAGAGAAACTCCTTCATTGTATAAAATGGATTATCAAGTAAAAATAATTTTAATTTATATTTAAAATCTTTGAATCCATTTAATTTTCTTATTTTCAAAGGCAATCTATTGTAAGCTTTAATACCCATATTTATGACACTTTTTTTAGAGGTAGATGTGCTACAGCTTAGTACATGGAAGTCCTCTTTTCTTCTAGTATTATATTCATATAAATCTGAATTTCTAGTAGTATACAGATTAAATTTCTGAAAGTAGCACAATACCTCAAAGATGTACAGAGAGGTAACAGTTAGGATCTTTAGATCTTTAAAGATTGGTCTGCATGTAGTTCTACTATTTACGCCTTTTATTAATCGAAGTATCCTTTTTTGTATTTTCAGTATTTTACTGCTTTCACACTCTCCCCCCCAAAAAATCAAACCATAACTTATTAAGGACTGAAATTTAGCAAAATAAACATTCCTGAGCGTAGAGAAACTCACTACATCTTTCAAGGATTTTATAATATAACACACCTTATTTAATTTTAGACATAAAGATTGAATATGTGAGCTCCATTTTAAGTTATTTGATATATTAACACCTAAAAATTTAAACTGTGAGGTATAACTAATTTTCATATTTTTGAAGGTGATTACTGGCTCAGACATATAGTATGATTTGTTTAATTGGAACAGCATTGCTTTGGTCTTTTCCGTATTTATAATCAAATTGTTTTTTGAAAACCACGATTCTAACTGGATCATCACCTCTCCTATCTTATCTTGGAGAATATTTATATTTTTATCTGTTACCAATATGTTAGTATCATCTGCAAAAAGGACAACTTCACCGTCAAATATATGATAGGGTAAATCATTTATATAAAGTAAAAACAACAGTGGGCCCAGGATGGAACCCTGGGGTATACCAAATTTTACATTCTTAAATGAGGAATTATACCTCTTCTTACGATATTTATTGTCATTTGAAGTTATTTCGACATACTGAGAACGTAGAGAAAGGTAGGATTTTAACCAAATTATGGCATTCCCTCTTATTCCATAATGCTCCAATTTCTCAAGAAGTATATCATGATCTATAACGTCATAAGCTTTTGAGAGATCAAAGAATATACCTACCACCCCTAACCGCCTATCCAATGCTTCCTGGACCTTTCCAATGAAGGACAGACACGCCGATGTAGTTGATTTATTTTTCTGAAACCCATGTTGATTTTCTGTTAAAATTTTGTATTTTGTAGTAAAAGATACCAGTCTAGAATACATTATTTTTTCCAATATTTTTGAAAATACAGATAAAAGCGCTATCGGTCTATAATTACTAGCTTCTTGTCTGTTCCCTTTTTTATAAACAGGCCTAACTTTTGCAATTTTTAATAAATCTGGAAAAATCCCCTGGTTTAAAGACTCATTAAAAATGAATGTAAGTGGTTTTTTTATACATTGAATACATGCTTTTAATAAAAATTCAGGGACTTCATCAACTCCAGCAGAGGCTTTACCTTTTAATTTAGTTACTACTAACACAATTTCATCTTCAGAAATGGGGAAGAGATACATGGAGTTTGGATTTCGGTCGACTAATAATTGTGGTAATCTATTATTATTTCTATTTCTAGTTTCCTCCACCAGTTCTTCAACTTTATCAATAAAATAAGAGTTTAATGTATTCGCCACCTTCTGCGGGTGTATTATTTTCTTTGAATTGTTTTGTAACCATATATCATGATTTGCCCTACCTGCATTTCCCATTTGTTTATTTATTATCTGCGTACTCGTACGTGGAATGCGGTGTACCATACGAACACTGCCTTCTTCACTGACGCCTTCATTAACACCACGCTCGGCTGCAATACGAAACGCCGTGAAGTCTACCGGTATCTCGCAATGCCTGGTAAACTCCAGTAAACACTCTCCGGTTCGGTATTCTACGATTCAGAAACCGTTGCTGATATTCAGCTATGGCAAGAACTGAGTTACCGTCACAAAACCCATACACATAAATCATATCTGCATACTCCTCAAATGAAAATGTAAATGTCATCGTGAACGTAACAGACTCACGGAGATGAGAACTGTTCTGAACACCAGTAACCGCCACACTAGCCGTGGCCGGACATACCAACCCACCACGCCTTAGGTACCTCTCAAGTGTCGAGATAACGAGAACGCTCTGTCTGTAGCTGGCTAAAAATAGCGAACTGCCAGATGATAGACGCGGTTCACACGAGGGCGTGTATGGGAACGAAAAAACGGTCATAACTTTGTAACCATCCAAAATCGGACACATGTTGATATGAACTTTTTTGATCACAAAGACCTAGTAAATCACCTCCTGCAGTTAGGCCCTAAAGTCGTGAAACATCCTGTGTGTGTATATATATAATATATAGCACACATCAATCCATGAGCAGTCATCAGGTATACAAACGATGTTAAGGCTGAGACAATGTTAGAATTGTATCAATGTACAGATTTGAAGGTGTAAGCCTGTAAAGCTCAATCTCAAAATGAATATTTGTGGAACTCCCTCCACAAAAAAATACGCTTTGCTTTGATATTGTCAATTGATTAAATGCCATTGGAAAGATTATATTCTGAAAATGTTTACTTAATAATAAAAGAAAAGATTTGATGTTTCATAGCAAGCGACTGACCTCTTTCTTTACAGAAACTTTTCCTCTACTCATGATCCTAACAGGTGTTATTGGAGGTGTAATAATCATCATAGCTATTGTCGCGGTGATAATTCTTTGCCAGAGGAGAGAAAAGAAACCAGAAGGTAAAGAACTTGCATTATCTGCATATCTGTTTATTTCATACTTACAATAAAAGCAGAGGTCACATAGAAGAACTAGATACAGATGGGGGAAAAATATTAAGTAGGTGTAAAATAAATGTTATATAAGGCATGGGCTGGATTTTTCTGGCTCAGGTAAATGTCCAGAACCAGTGACCTGCATTGAAGCAAATGGTGCTAGAAGATGAGGTGGGGTGACAGGATTGGGCAATTGAGTTCATGGTAATGAATATCTGATTTCCATAATCTGAAATACAGGGGTTAAGCAAAATAATGGAAACACTATACAGATACTGTACACAGTTCTTTAGTAATATGGCGTTGGACCACCTTCTGCCTTCAATACAGACATAATCTTTCTTGGAATGGGCTTCTACAAGTTTCAAACAGTCTCTAGCAGAACTTTATACCATTCTTCTTGATGAACATGTTCAAATTTCTTTAAAGATGTCGGAGGTGGGAATCTGTTCCTCATTCTAGTCTCAAAAACTGACCAGACTGGTTCAGTGACATTCAATCTGGTGAATGTGCTGGCCAGGGAAGGTGTTGAAGTTCACCTTCATGCTCTTCAAACCATCACTGAAAAGTTCCAGCTGTGTGAATAGGGGCATTGTCATCTTGGAAAACTGCACCATTGCTCGGAAATAATGTCTGGAACATGGGATGCACTTGCTTATCAAACCGGTCCACATACTTCTTTGTAGTAATTCGGCCATGAAGGGTAACAATGGGACCAACAGAATACTGTACCACGATATTGCTGCCCAAACCATGACAGAACCTCCATGTTTCACTGTTGGAACCAGGCATTCTGGATTGTAGGCTTCCTTGGGTATTCTCCAAACGTAAACACATGCACATTTCCAGCTGTCTGATGTCCAGTTTTTATGGTCATGAGACTATCATTTACACATACAAACATTACTTTCAGTAATCAGATGTTTAGCGATTGTGTTCCTACCGTGGATATTGGATTTGCGAAGTTCAAATCAGACAGTTCTTGTGGGAACAGGGTCTTCAAAATGAATATTCAGTGCTACTGTCCTGTCACCTGTGCTACAGAGGTTCTGTGATTTTTTAAAACAATCCTTCTCAATGTATGAGGATCTCTTTCTGTCACCTGTGCTACAGAGGTTCTGTGATTTTTTAAAACAATCGTTCTCAAGGTATGAGGATCTCTTTCTGTCAATGTTGATTGTAGCCCATTGTTCCTTTTTGCTGATGATGTCTTCCCATGATTCGTGAATGATCACATGACCTTAAAAACTGTCGCTCTCAATACACTTAATAAGGAGGCAATTTCTGTCACAGACGTTCCATCTAAATGTGCATCAACGATCTGGCCTCTTTCAAAATTAGAAAAGTCTCCCTTTTTCCAATTTTTTCACACGGAATGTCACTCTCAACACAATCGCTAATGCACTACATGAGCACTACAGAGTGTAAACAAACAGAAGAACATTCGTGTTGCCAACTGAAGTTCATTCCATGTAGCCTACACAAATTCTGTTCCTCAATTTCATAGTATTTCTATTATTTTGTCCACTTCCTGTATATAATGAGTACCACAAACCCTTGCTAATCCAGATTAACTGGGGGGAGGTCATCCAGATTAAGCGATGATCTGGATTAGTGAAACAGAAGGTAGCCCTAAGAAACAAAAAACTTGGAACACAAATGGATAATGTTATGATATAGGTAGTGTGAAGAAGTAAATAAAAGAAAAACAAAGTAAGCCTTTATTTATAAACGNGTGGTTAAAATTACAGTGTAGGTGTATTTCAGTGTATAAATCTACAATAGAACAGTTTCAACTATAATAGGCTATGTACCGTACTTCAGAAGCTTTATAATGAAGAACCATTGGCCTGCATCACAAAAGGTAAGCTTAAGTAGCGTTTTATGGTGTAAAAAATTAACGATGTTAAATTTATACCGGTATATCTGGCTTGTATATGTGTACTTCGGTTTATCCGATGTTTTTGATTATCCGCGCCAAGTCTCCCCGCCATTACCGCGGATAATCGAGAGTCTACTGTATATTTATTTGTGGGGTTGTCAATATTCTAAAAGACAGCGACGTAAATCTGTAACAATTGTGTATATTAAATTGTATACATTGAATGTACAGAATAGCTGCGAAGCTATGTGGAATTTTAAAAGTTGGCTGGCCCTGAAAAGGGCAGGTTGTTCCACCGTATGAGTGTGCTGGTAGAATTTGCTCCTTTGTAGTAGACCAAGTCTTTACGGCTGTTCGGCTGGTTTGTCCGGCCAGTAATGTGGTGCTGCGTGAGCCTGTAGGAACAGCTGCCTGGTCACAGAGCATGGTTGCTGGAGAGCTGCGGCAGCTACGTTAGCTGTCTGGTACCAGAGAGCGGTTGTTGGAGAGGTGCGACAGCTGTCTTTGGCGCAGAGAACACCTCATGACTCTGACGACTGATCGCTCTGAACTGAATGTGATCACTGATGATTGCGAGCTTTGGGCTCTGCTTTTATACCGAGCATGCTGGGCGGAGCTTAAACTTGCAGTTGCAATTGTGAGTGCTGATTGGTTAGCGCGTGTGATGATGCAAGTGTGAGCTGGACAGTGAGTGCTGGTGGCAATGTGATATTGACTAGGAGTGAGTGCTGTCTGTTAGACTGGTGAAACCACATGTTAGTATGTGGGATGTTCCCACATATTCATTGATAGAAGACCCAGAAGTTCGACTTGTTTTCAGCATAATAATGCAGGTTCAAAGAAATTGTCATGTTTTGTCCGAACAGACAAGTGACTCATCTGCCTTCCTTAATGCCATGTATCTTTTAAAGCAGTGGTTCTCAACCTTTGTCAGACCGCGGTCCAGTAAATTCTTTTTCTTACAAGATGAGGGCCCGGTATAATTGAAGCCAGAGCCAGGTATCAGGCTGCGGCCCAGGAGTTGAGAAACACTGTTTTAAATTGTGTACTTAACTCTGGACAGCATTTTTCATATTTTGATCTGGATTAACTGTAATCAGATTAGTACGGGTTTACTGTACCTGTGTTACATATTAATGTATAAAGCCATCTTCATTAATTACTGTATCCTATTTGTTATATTAACCATGAAGTATAATTTTGAAACTTCACCTGAGATGGTAAATTATCGGTGATGAACACATCAGTAACAGTAATTGAATATAAATTTGTAATTAGGTTTTCATTCTGAGCACTCACTTCTCTTTCACAGACTGCAGGGAAGAAGAGAGACAATACAAAGAATCAGACAGGTCCTTGAATGTCTCAGACTTGAAGAGGGAGTTATGGACAGGCTCATCTGTAAGCAATGTCCACTGTGAACTTGAGTATGGACCTGATTCAGATACTGGAAGTGAGAGCATTGTTACAAGAGTTGGAGTACCTCTTGCAGGGCCTGTACCTATGCCAGTCAATGGTGGAGAGCACATATACCGGTACTCAGCAGAGTTTACAGTTCCTGTCCTTCCTCTCAAAGTAAGTAACAAATGCCTTTGTTATCAGTGGTGAAACTTGACATTTCAAAAGTGTCTGCCAAATTCTGAGACTGAGGGAGGTGACGAAAATTCTGGCAGTTGAATGTAGACAACTGTGAAATTTTGACATAAAAATCAATTAAGGACAAAGTGGGAACCAAATATAAAAAGTTAAAAATTGTGAGTAATTACTGAGCTTGCCTTTATTTTTATCGCACTTGTATGTGTTCTATACAATTGTTTTTTACTGAAAATAATTATCAGAGTTTCAAAAGTTCTGTTTTCTGTGTCTTACAGAAGTTTCATCTCAGTGGTCATTATTGATAACCTAGTGACCTGAATCTGAATGTGGTGTAGGCTAAGCATGGACCTTCATCAGAGCAGAAAATGTCTGCTCAAGAGACGTGCTGGTTGCAGGAACCACTAATAACAAGCAGATCATTTTTTACTTCTAGTAATGACATACTCAGATTTATACACTAATATAACTTCCAGGGTAAATATACTAGAGGATTAAAAGAAGTTGAAGCAATCTGAAGCTCATCTGCACATACTCATAAGAATTTAGCTTTTCATAAGTGCGTGTGTAGTGAAGAGTTGGCAGCCTTATGAGGATATTTCCATTATATTAAAGCAATTAGTGGGATATGTAACCGCACCATGCAGGAACATCAACAATGTTGTTGATTTACATTCTTAATTACATTTAAATGAACTGTATTACTGATAACAAGATGATACAGAATAGACCCCAGCACAAACAGACGCCAAGGACAACATCTGGTCTTTCTGAGGGACAAGCAAGCTGCAGGTCACTTGAAAACCCAGAACGGAGCAGGAAGTATCCCGCTGTGTTTTCTGGGAATTTCAATGCTTAACTTCGACGGTTCGAGTCTTTGAAAATTTGAGACTTGACAGAAACGAGTCGCAATAATTTTCGAAGGGACGTACCGAGCGATTGTAACGTACCTCCATTTATTTAAGAGCTGTCAGAGGGACCGTGTTGTACTTAGGCCCAAATTAACATGGATCTGGTTAGGGATTGGCTGAATGCAAATGAAAGGAACACCAAAATTTGAGGTTCAGCCAATCAGCAACATTTCAGAGGAGAGGAATCCAGGCGTTCCCGGAACCGTCGGGGCTTCTGTCTCTCCAGAGCAGTCAGTCATTAGCAGTCATCAGAAGGAAATAGCGGGAGCGAGTCATTACAAGGCAATAAGAGCAGTCTTTACAAGGGAATAAGAGCGGTTAGTCATGGATAGTGAGTAACCGGAGTGAGTTGCCAAAGGAAGTAACAGTAGTAACCTCCCAGACGTTAAATTGGAGTACAAAGTCCAAGTGCTAGGGCCTCGTAATGTGTAACCCTAGTGAACGCTAACAATAAAAGCAACAGTGTTGGTGAAGTGCGAGTTTTTTTTTTCAGTGTTCTCTCTCTCCTTGTGTGAGCAAGGCCCAGAAGTCGCCCTGAGACAGAATCTCATCCTACCTTCTGAGCAGTCGGAACCCTAAACGCCTGCCTATCCACATCCCCACCTTTGTTTTCCCCGTTCCAAACTCGTGGATTTCACCCAAGTCCACTGGTGCCCATAAAAATTCAAGTATTCAGAGCAATCCCACACCCTACCCTGAACCAGACAGCTACAAGGAAGCGGCGGATGAAAGTGAAGACCACAAAGGTGCGAACGTGAAGGGCAGATATAAGTGATGACCAACTCGTGAGGCTTGAAGTCTCAAAGAGCAGTAAGGATGAAGACGACGAGAAGGGCGGTAAGAGATACTACAATCACCAGAGCTTCCAGTTTTGATCAGTGCATAGGTCACATAACATACCAAAGACATTGCTTAATTCACCACTTGTGTGAAGACAAGCCTTGTAGCATGAAATGGACAACCGAGGCAAATTTTAGGTCATGCATTTTCTTTCCATGAAAGATGGTGAAAAACAGACTAGTCAAATTAAAAACTGGCTTACTGAAGCTGGTTTCACATTGCAACTGGGGCAGCATAGGCTTAGAAGAGACCCAGAAATGTTGTGCAGTGTCCTAACCAGGGGTTGGATTCCCTACTGAGTGGCCATGAAGGAACTGCCAAGGAAGACTTGAACAATGCAAACCAAATGACTTCTGCATGGTCATCCAGTTTTGTTAATGTATAAACTTAAGTGGTTTTCATTGCTCTACTTTCTTCCAACTGCTGCTGAACATTCCCTTATCATGAAATGATTATATTTTAACTGTGATTATAACAACTTTCAATGTATTAGTTAAAGAAATCATTTTGGAATTTTTTGTGTTCCAAATATTCACTGTTTGATGTTACAAAAAAGTGAGAAATTCAAAACAAATGAGGCCTAAATGACTCAGCTTTTGAACAGAATTTTTCAAAATGGATGTTCATTTTAGAATGGTCTGTTATACTAGATGCCAGATGGCTTTAGTTGACTTTACACTCCATGTCAATTCATACCAGGGCTGTAGGGAAGGGAGGAGTCTTGTGCAGACCTATCTTTTCAAAATGTTCAGTGTCACAGTGTGATAGTTTCATTGCATCATGTTCTTGACTTATGGTTGGTACTTTTATATTGTATTTGGCAGGCAGCTACCAGTTTGACTGTAGTAAAAACCAGTCTTTCTGCTAATGTCCAACCACTAAGATATAATGTTGTTGCACTGCCACCAGGGCCAGTTCCGTGTTGTTTTGGTCTTTGTTTGGCATTTGTATTGTTGACATTATACTCAGGCATTTCCATTGTTACTGGGTCTCTCTGTATTTAATAGTTTCATACTGCACTGAATCAGAGTGCTATATTAAGCAGTGATAATTCTGGCAATGAACTTTTGGGATGTTAACGAGGAGGTTTTTAAATATATACAAATGGTAATGTGTTCCATGTTATTAATTATTCACTTTCCTTGGGAAACAAGAAGATACAAAATCTGAGATGTAATGTCTCTATGGCATGGAGAATTTAAATGCAGAAATTAATTTTTATATTATCATCTCCCTTAAATTTAAACATTACTTTCATTAAGGAACATATTTTTTTTTTCCTTGGCACTACAGCCCCAGTAGGCCTAGGCCTACTTCCATGAACTTCTCCGTTCACCTCGGTTTTTCTAGATCTTACACATACGGTAGGACTCCATGCCCTGAGTGGGATTCGAACCCACGATATCGGCTTCTGAGCCAGCAAAGACAGTGCATGCCTTAGACTGCTCGGCTACCATGACTGGGAAGGAACATATAGATAGCACAAATAAACACTTTTTATCCCCATACGGATCTATAGCACAGTTTCCATGATCTCATTTCCCATCATAGATGGTCTAAATGGTATAAGAGCATCATCATTACATCATCATATGCCTGATTTATTCCAATCCTTCCCAGTAACAAACTTTAAACAGGCCTATTGTAAACAATATAAGAGAATGTACTATCACAACAAAGTGTATTAATTCTGAAGTACATAGTGAATACTGAAAGACTGTGCAGTGTGCACCAATGAACATAAATTTATTTAAGTTATGTCTGATGTTGAGTGAAGCCTGCCTTAGTACTGAGTGATACTGATTAGTGTCTGGGCCTAAGATGAACAACATGCTGCAAGGCCACGGAGCCACTGTGACATGGCTCATTACACACAACTGCTGAGGAGATTACAAGCTGATAGGCCTCATATTTACATAAAGATAGCCTGAGGCTGTTGTAATATCCTGCAGATGATTGTTAAGGAGGGAGATTACATATGCTGACGCAATTAACGTCGAGCATATGAGTGGACTCTCCTCTTCTGATTGGACTTACCACTCCCCTCCCTGTTACGCCCCTGACCTTTTGTTTTCTCCAAAGATCTCATACTTTATGTGTCAGATACTTGAACAAGAGCTGGCAGGAAGAAGAAAGCAGACTGCACAAGATGAAGGCAATAGAGAGGTTTCCTGTAAGTAAACTCATATTATTTTGTAGTGACATGCCTCTGTTTCAAAGTGAAACATTGGCGATTGAAAAATGCAATAACTGTTTCTTTTTCTCTCTACTTAACGTATCACATTTCTAAGTATGATGAGAAAGAAATGAAAGGGTTTGAGCTTGAATTCCTCGTGCTACTAATCCAATACATATCTCAAACAAAACAGTTCCAAATTTTTGAATACTTAGGAGAGAAATCGAAACCGGAAATCAGTCATCTGTCATCTGTGATCGCCCATACGACATCAAATTATTTTTGTGTGTCTGCCTGCCTGTAGCCCTCTGCGGTTGTACTGGCAAGTATTAAAGTGGCTGTATGTAATAGGAATAATGTTTATAATCTGTTAGCTGGACAGGACTAATGAAGAAAAAGTGGACGCTTTTAAATCTTTCCATGCCAACCAAGAGATATTTTGCTCAGAAACACAGCCTTTACGGTCTAAATTTATATTACATTTGAGAAGACTGAAATAAATGTATCCCACCTCCTCTCAACCACTACAGCAGTTAAAATATTCTACTCCTTACCATGGATGAGCTGGGATTTCTCAATCAGTGCAAAGATTTCTCTCTTCTCCACAGTGCCAACACAATATCTGGGGCCCACTTAGCCTCCTATCAGATGGGCGCTAGGGTTACTTCACAGAGAGAAAAGAATGCATGGAACTATACCTCTACTGTTATATAAGTTTTCATGGCTTGTTACTTAACTAAAGACAGGCACAACGTTACCACTTATGTATTACAATGGAAATATACCAGCATTAGATATGTATAAATAATCACAGGAGTCGAAAGGATTAAGCTACTATTCCGACAATTTCTCATATTAACTAAGATAATGCATTCACCATGCATTAGCAAGATTCCTTGATATCCAAAAATCTGACTTATTTCAACTGATATGATATTCTGAAGCCAAGCACAAATTCCAGAGATAATTATACGAACGCAACCAAGAATCCTGTTTCAGTTGATTATACCTGAACACTGACAATTAGAAAAACGAAATCTTTTTTTAAGTTGCATATACAGTCGGCGTTTCCAACGAATATGAATGTCCTTTATATAAACACAAATGCAAACATAATTAATTAGAATGATATTTATTTAAATTCTTGGTCCTAGATACTTTCATTTTGGCAAAATTTTTACCAGTTTTTAGCTTCTATTACGATGCGTTATGATGCATCAAAGAATTTAGTTAAAAGACATAACTGATTATCTGTTCTGTTTCAAGTCAAGTTATGGCCTATATATCTAAGACCATGGAGTTATGTGCATTTTTATGCTTAGGTACTAAATTACCATAATCTGCATTCAGAAGCTTTTGATTAGAAAGCCTTCCTTACTTTGTAGCCAGCCAATAAGTAGACCAGAGATGAAGCCATCAAACTAAGGATCAAGATTGTGATATTGTACTACCCGGTCAGGGCTACCGAACATCTAAAGTGGCAATGATGGAATTATTATAAATGGGAAAACCGAAGGGACCGGAGAAAAAACTGCCTGCAAGTTTCTTGCATGGTTCATTCTTAAACAGATGTACAAGAGGATGCACGAATTTACAAAGAACCATAATCTGTAACGAACAGAGCCTGGATAGCTGAGTCGGTATAGTGACGGGCTGGGGGCTGGACTCTAAGGGTTACATTCCAGGCAGAGGCAATATTTTCTCTTCACAACGTCCAGACCGGCTATGGGACCCACCCAGCCTCATATTCAATGCATACCAGGGGCTTTTTCTAGGGTGTAAAGGGGCCAGGACACAAAGTTCATTACATGCCTCAATCTAATGTCAAGATCGAGAATGGTGGAGTAATTACCTCCACTTTCTCTTGCGTCTTCACAGTGTGGTGCT